CCGCCAGCCCCCCAGAGCAAGGAGCCCTCCCTCCTCCCGCCGCTCAGGTAAGGGGCGCTTCGCCGCGGCGAGTGAGCTCGAGCCTGGACAGGCCTGGGGAGGTGCTAAATTAGTCCCCATCTTATTGTATGTATAGTTGGGATTATTTTTTCCAATGTGCATTACTTTACATTTATCAACATTAAATTTTATTTGCCATTTTGTTTGCCAGTCACTTAATTTGGACTTTTTGAAGCTCTTACAGTCTGCTTTGGTCTTAACTATCCTGAGCAGTTTAGTATCATCTACAAATTTTGCCATCTAACTGTTTACTCCTTTCTCCAGATCATTTATAAATATGTTGAATAGGAATGGTCCCAGTGCTGACGGTTGGGGACACTTCTCTCCATTCTGAAAACTTACCATTTATGCCTACACTTTATTTCCTGTCTTTTAACCAGCTTTCAGTCTGTGAGAGGACCTTCCCTCTTGTCCCATGACAACTAACTTTACTTAAGAGCCTTTGGTGAGGGACCTTGTCAATGGCTTTTTGGAAATCTAAGTAGTATAACCACTGGATACCCCTTGTCCATATGTTTGTTGACCCCATCAAAGAACTCTAGTAAATTAAATAAAAAAACAGGACTATGTAGCACTTTAAAGACTAACAAGATGGTTTATTAGGTGATGAGCTTTCGTGGGTCAGACCCACTTCCTCAGATCAAATAGTGGAAGAAAATTGTCACAACCATATATACCAAGGATACAGTTAAAAAAATGAACACATATGAAAAGGACAAATTAGTAAATTAGTAAGGCAAGATTTCCCTTTACAGAAACATGTAATGAAAGAGGTGCCACAACTCAAGCAATTATATGCTGGGCCCCAAGTGATTTTAACATTTTCATAAATGAAGCATCAAGCCCTGGGACTTTGAACTGGCTAGCCCTGGCACAATTAAGCAGTAGTGTCAGGATAGGACAACTTTGACCATAATTCCAGGGACTACATTGGCATCTGAGAAGCCCAAGTTATTTTTTACAGATAATAACTTAGAAATTAAATGTCAGGAGCATTGTGTCTAATACCTATACAAAGAAAGAAAAATATGTATTTGGGATGTAAAGTCCTGTTTAATTAGTTAACAAGATATATGTTAAGTTTAACTGGTTAACCAATTACATGGAGGAAGCAGCGGGCAGTGTTAGGCTGGAGTGGGTCCCCTGTTGCAGATGGGGGCTGTTCCAATGAGTCTGGAGCATCCCCCACCCAAAGCAAACCCTGCAGGGCTGGAGAATCTCCCTGCTGGAGGCTGGCAGGGGGCTGCTGCAGCCCCCACTGGTTAACTGTAACCAGAAAACCTCACCCGTTAATTGTTAACAGGTAACCTGTTAACTGGTTAGCCATTAACATCTCTAATATATAGACAGCTGTCAATTAAATACATAAGTTAAGTTTATATGTACATTTAGAACACTCAGGAGAAAATACAGCAAGATACTACCATCCCAAGCCTTTAAATATTAGTTTTGAAACATTAACACAGATATCAGAAACACAAGTTTGATCGTTTGTACTCTATCTTTAGTAGAAATAAAAGTAAATAAAAACTGCTTAAAAACTATTTATAGAATCATAGAATAATAGGACTGGAAGGGACCTCAAGAGGTCATCGAGTCCAGCCCCCCGCCCTCAAGGCAGGACCAAGCTCCATCTACACCATCCCTGACAGATGTCTATCTAACCTGTTCTTAAATATCTCCAGAGAGGGAGATTCCACCACCTCCCTTGGCAATTTATTCCAATATTTGACCACCCTGACAGTTAGGAATTTTTCCTAATGTCCAATCTAAACCTCCCCTGCTGCACTTTAAGCCCATTACTGCTTGTCCTGTCCTCAGAAACCAAGAGGAACAAATTTTCTCCCTCCTTGTGACACCCTTTTAGATATTTGAAAACCGCTATCATGTCCCCCCTTAATCTTCTTTTTTCCAAACTAAACAAGCCCAGTTCATGAAGCCTGGCTTCATAGGTCATGTTCTCTAGACCTTTAATCATTCTTGTCGCTCTTCTCTGTACCCTTTCCAATTTCTCCACATCTTTCTTGAAATGTGGCGCCCAGAACTGGACACAGTACTCCAGCTGAGGCCTAACTAGTGCAGAGTAGAGCGGCAGAATGACTTCACGCGTTTTGCTTACAACACACCTGTTGATACAACCTAGAATCCTATTTGCTTTTTTTGCAACAGCATCACACTGTTGACTCATATTCAACTTGTGGCCCACTATGACCCCTAGATCCCTTTCTGCCATGCTCCTTCCTAGACAGTCGCTTCCCATCTTGTATGTATGGAACTGATTGTTCCTTCCTAAGTGGAGCACTTTGCATTTCTCTTTATTAAACCTCATCCTGTTTACCTCTGACCATTTCTCTAACTTGCTAAGGTCATTTTGAATTATGTCCCTATCCTCCAAAGAAGTCGCAACCCCACCCAGTTTGGTATCATCTGCAAACTTAATAAGCGTACTCTCTATCCCAATATCTACATCATTGATGAAGATATTGAACAGTACGGGTCCCAAAACAGACCCTTGAGGAACTCCACTTGTTATCCCTTTCCAGCAGGATTTAGAACAGTTAACAACAACTCTCTGACTACGGTTATCCAGCCAATTATGCACCCACCTTATCGTGGCCCTATCTAAGTTATATTTGGCTAGTTTATCAATAAGAATATCATGCGAGACCTTATCAAATGTCGGCAATTGTTTCCAAAAAGTCTTATGCTCTGAATTATAAAGAGGAGAATTAGACAGGTAATTTGTTCCAGGAGTTTTTAAAGGTAAATTATTGTGAACAAACAAACAAAGCACTCCAGGTATGAGCTAAAACAGTGGATAACACCACGGTTTCATGCTGGTGAAATCCATGTGTCTTGAAGCTTCACATTCACAGACTAAAATTACTGAGGGTATGTCTAGACTGCAAGCTTCTTTTGAAAGAAGCATTTTCGAAAGTGCTCTTTTGAAAAAGCTTTTGAAAGAGAGCATCCATACCTCAAAACTGGATCGAAAAAGCGATCTGCTTTTTCGAAAGAGAGCATCCAGATGGCATGGACACTCTCTCGAAAGAAAGTCCTGATTGCTATTCACAGAATGGCCACCAGGGTACCTGTGATTTTTTCGATTTCCTCTTCTTTTGAAAAATGTCCCTGTTCTGCGTCCACACGTGGCTTTTTTTGAAAGTGCTCTTTTGAAAAAGGTGTTCTTCCTTGTAATTTGAGGTTTACCAATGTCAAAAAACTGCCCTGCATTCTTTCGATTTAATTTTGAAAGAACGTGATTGCAGTGAAGATTCTTTGAAAAAAGGGCAGGTTTTTTTCAAAAAAACAATGTAGTCTAGACATACCCTGAGTCTCTTACGTGTCCTCTTCTCATTGAGAATAGTAAGTAGCCCTTTACTGTCTGGAGTTCAGAGAAGTACCTCTTTCATGATGTGGTAGAAATTGGAAGGCTCAACACAATAATCTACAATAGACAGCCAAGACTGGTAACTAGAGCCCTGCAAATTTGTGGATAGACACTTTATATTTATATCCATAGGTATCTGCAACTGGATTATGGATATCCGTGGCTTATTATTCCTAATGCAGATAAAATTTTGTATCTGGAACCCTGCAAAATTTGTGGATATCTGCTTTATATCCATGGGTTTCCACTTCTCTATCAGATGCAGCAGTGCAGGGGGTGGGAGACAGGCAGGAGCTGGTCTGTGCATGGAGTCGGCATGAACCAGCTCACGTGTAACTGCTGAAATTTTCAGCAATTGCACAATTGCTTAAACACATTTTAACATCCCTAGTCTGTACCAGTTATCCCAGCTACAATGGTAGTGACTTCGTTGGGGAACTTAAACAATTCCTTACTATGGACATAGACAGTTTTAGCATTTGTTTAATTTCCTAGTGCAGATACAGCCATTTTCAGACTTAATTTGAGAGTCAGTTTATTCTTCTAGTAGGATAGTATTACCTCAGTGAAGAGTCAACTCAGCCCATCCTCTGTGAAGCTGTGAGGTTTTAATTTGTGTGCCCTCTTCCGTTTGCTCTGTTAATTGAGGAGGAGAGGAGGGGAGAGAAATAGTTCTGAGAGCTGAACTTTTGTATGCAGAGAAGTACATTTTATTTAAGAGGACCGTGTATCCTGTTTTGATTTCTTCATATAATTTAGATCCTCAATACATTAGCCGTTACTAGAGATGCTAGATAATATTTATTTTAGTAATTGTGAAGTTGCAAAACTTTTCAGCAATTACACAGTTACTAAAATACTCCCCAGAAATGGGGACGGTAGCCAGGGTGCTCCCAGCTCCACTCCCAGGGAGCCCCCTGTGGCAGGTGGAGTTGGCCTGCATGGAGATCTTGTTTAAAAATTTGCTCCCCAGGTAGACTGGCTCCCGCCTGACACCCCGCGCTGTTGCATCTGATACAGAGGCAGCAGCCCAGGGTGACAGCAGCCCCAGGCTGTGGGGAGCCCAGGCTCCCCGCAGACAGATGCTGCTGTCCCACAGAGCAGCCTCTGTCTGCGGCAAGCCTGGGCCTGCTGTGGACAGAGGCTGGTCCCCGGCCTGCCCTCCCGCCCCCCTGTGCTGCTGCCTCTGCATCAGAGGCAGCAGCATGGGAGTAGTGGGGCAAGTGGCTCCATGGGATTTTTTGCTAGTGGGGAGCTGGCTTTTAAGATAACTCCCCGGGGGGGGGGGGGGGGGGGGGAGGCAGGTGGCTCTGCGGGAGCCAGCACATGTAGGGAGCTGGCTTTTAAGCTGGTTTCCCATGGGCATCAGGTTCCACCTCTCCCTGGGGGGAGGTGCATGTAGTCGTTTGGATTAACTGATAAGACCAGGCTTATCAATTAATTATTTAAACGACTATATGCTAACATTCCAAATCTTATCACGCTGCCCTGACCAAACCATCGTTTTCCCAGGGGAAAAAAAATCAATGATTACATATCAGCAAGGGTGCTGGAACTAGGAGTACTGGGGTTTGTGGTAACACTCTGTGGCTCACAGTGGTTTTCATCATATACGAGATTTACAGTTTGATTCAATGGCTTTTAGCACTCCCACTATAAAAATTGTTCCAATGCCACTGCATACCAGTAAATCATTTCCTGAGTCACGAAAACACATCTCTATTTTAACTTCATTATGAAGTATGTAGTTTACTGACTTTCATAAGCTGAGTTTTGTAGTTAATATTTTTCATTATACACTGAAATTGTGGATTGCATTTGTAAGTGATTGCAGATCACTTTAATTCACATTTGACAAATGGCATTTATAGAAAATACATTTTACTGAAGTTTAGAAATCTTTGCCAGAAATTAGGCTTCTAATGTAAATTTAAAATGTGACCAGAAAACAATGGCATAGTAGTTAGGGGGGAGGGATAGCTCAGTGGTTTGAGCATTGGCTTGCTAAAGCTAGGGTTGTGAGTTCAATCCTTGTGCAGGCTATTTGGGGCAAAAATTTGTCAGGGATGGTACCTGGTCCTGCTGTGAAGGCAGGGGACTGGACTTGATGACCTTTCAAGGTCCCTTCCAGTTTTAGGAGATAGGCAATCTCCATTAATTTAATTTACTCCAGATTAAATGTGATCAGTTAACAGGAAGTATTTTTGATTTCCTGCCCTTGCTTAATCCCGAAAGGCAAATTGAGTTCTTTCTGCTTCTTTCATACTCATCAGTTATTTATTGAATAAATCTGTTGATGAGTGAGGCCAAACAGAATGCAGTTTGCTTTTCTTGACTGATATTTGTTCCTGCACCATTGAGAGTAAAAACAGGTTTGTATCCATAAAATACATTGACTTGAAACAGAGAAAGTAGAGTATTTGACTGTGGTGATTTTTTGTATAGTGCTGCTTTTCTGACCATAATTGTACTTTAAAGAAAATCCTACATTTATTTTTTGGCAGGCTGGACATACAACATATGTTAGTGAACAATGTTATCCATCATCTAAGTCATTAGCTATGAGAATGTGCAGAGTTAAGGGCGAAGTAGCAGAATGGGATAAGATGATTTTCTCAAACCCTTGGGGTTCAACATTTTGAAAAGTGGCAGACAGGTTATTTTATAAGAAGTTTTTGTTTCTTAATCATAGAATCATAGAATCATAGAATAATAGGACTGGAAGGGACCTCGAGAGGTCATCGAGTCCAGCCCCCCGCCCTCAAGGCAGGACCAAGCTCCGTCTACACCATCCCTGACAGATGTCTATAATACAGTGCTGCTCTTCAGAAGTCTTATGGTGATGACAATCATTCCTAGAGTGATAACTGAAGTTGGGTCCCCTTATGTTAGACACGTACATATACTTAGTAGGGGACAGACAATACATGTGCCTCAGAAAGCTTACGCTCAGATTAAACAAAGGGCAGGAGAGGAACAAGTTAGTGACTTACTAGAGATCTGACTTTGAACAGGAGGTTGATGGTAGAACCAAGACATAAGAATGTAGATCCCAGGTCCGGTACTCTTTTCGCTAGTCATAGCTAATTCCCACAATCTTGAGTTTTGAGTACAGAAATGAGAATTTTTACTTTAGTGTAAAGCACGTCTCCAGTTTGAGACTCAGAATAATCAATATTAGAAATGTATTTTGTAAATAAGATCCTGGGTTTGTAGTCACTTATCTTTTGTGTTAACTGTAGGTTGTTACAGATAAGCTGTGGATTCAAAAAAAAAGAGACCGCTTCGGTATGACAGGTAGGTATTCATTTTACTTGTCCTTCCAATTGTTCTAAACCTTGAAGTGCTGGAGAATCCTGGGAGCCAGATGCTTCTAAAAAGTTTGCTATATAATAAGCCGTGAGGCACCTCTGTTTCTCAGTCACTATAGCTACATCTGCACTTCATGGTAAACCTGGATCTGTGAGACTCCAGCTTGTGGACTTGGTCATTACAAGCACATACTGAAGCATCTACGCTGCACTGTAAACATGGATTTACCATTGGTTGCTGGACCTGAGACTCAGATCTGTGCTCACGTGTCCAGACTGGAATAAGAAGTCCTGACCTGGGTCTGTTACATTAGCTGCATTCACATTGCAGACCGATAGGGCTTGAACCTGAGTCACAGTATCGCTCATTCAGCAGGGTCTAGGATCCAGGCCCTGAGTGCTTGCTGATCTTGAGTTCAAAGTTGAGTCAGAGTTTGGTCTTAGGCCCTCCTCTCATTCTGGTGGCTGTGCAAGTAAATTTTTTAGTGGGCTGGCCCAACAGTCTAGCTCAGTCCCAGCTCATGCTGGGTTCTGGCATCAGTCCCTGCTTCAGTAGAGTCAGGGGTTGATTCCAGGACCTAGTGTGAGTCAGACTGAGCCAGCCTGCCTGCACGCCAGCTCTTAAAGTGGTTGTAGTGCACAGCCACAGCCAGGTTTGATGCCAGGACCCAGCATGAGCTGGGACTGCGTGGGAGCAGTGCTAACCCTTATCAATTAATCATGTAGTCGACAAAATTTTGGCAACTAAACAATTAATAAATTACCTGCTTCTTAACATCCCTAGAATTTGGCACTTTTTTTTTAAAATTGCAGTCTCTTGTAGCTCATTTGACCTTTTACTTCTGTAAAATATTAAGATGTGACTCTTCCACTACTCTGCTCTGTGACCTGGGTGTTATTAAAAGAGGTTTGTGAGGCTCACACCATGATAGGACCTTTCTAGTACTCCCTTAAATATCAGAGAGGACTGTGATCTATAAGGTAATTAATGCTTATTTTGTGTCTGTATCAATACAACAGCATGTCATAGTTTTACTGTCCTGACATACTGTGCACTAGGGATGTAAGAGAGTAGTCAAGTAGTTGACTACCCAATAAGCTTAAGCTTAAAAGCCGGTTCCCCCCCTCCCCAGCATTGTCTCCCCTCCCCTCCTGTTCCCCCTTCGGAGGAAGCAGCGGGGAAGGGGGAGTAGGAAATGATGCTCCGGCAACTTCCCACTGGGACACGTGCAGAGAGGAGCTGCTGCCCGTGAAGCAGCCCCTGCCGGCAGCAGCCCCTGTCCATGGTGGGTCCCAACTTCCCTAGTAGGAGCCAGGTGGGTAGACAGCCCGGCACAGTCCCGCGGTGGCTTTACAATTTAAAACATAGTAGGAGCGAACGGTGGGGCAGGCTGCTCGGCTCCTACTGTCTTTTAAATTTCAGAGCATCAGCGGAGTTTGGTCCCGGCATGAGCCAGTATTGAGCGGGACTACCTTCTCCTATTGAGTGATCAAATAGTTGATAAAAATTCTATCAATTACTTAATTACTAAAATAACCTACATTTAACATTCCTATTGTGGATAGAATAATTTAATTTTAGTTACCAAGGATTTCAGTAGTAACATAATACTCCCATACAGCATCAGAGTTTCTGCTGAAAAGCATCCTATTTTTTTCTGTGTTATCCTACCTTTTCCCTCTGATTTATTCCCATAGTGTCTTTGACTTTGGAACAAGAAAAGCTAATGGTAACATTGTAAATTGAAGTGCAGTAAAATTACTACCTTTGTTTGTTCATTGGTGTGTGTAATTGAAGGGACTTTAGGTTGTTTTTTGGTGTGATGTCTGCTTTTGAGAACACATAATAACTCCAAGGGGAAAGAGAAACAAATATAGTAAACAAATGAATTTTTGAATACCAGAAATAATCAAGATAACGAAAAGCTTTGCTGATGTTAGTTTTAGGAAAAACAGATTGCAAATTTCTTTACGGATTCAAAGTATGTGGTTTGTGGAGAAAGGGCAAAATTAGAATTACTGTATATATTGTTAAATGTGTAAATTTTTTTTCTTTTGGTAACTGAACGTCAGCTCTGAACTTGGCACTTTACACATAAGACATGGCCCCTGCCCTGAGGATCTTACAATCTGCTGTCATTCTGACACTGACATCAATATGGTTGAGGGATGTTAAATTTAGTTTAATCAACTAATCGACGAGTCGATGGAATTTCCATTGACTAGTCGATATGCTGGAGAGCTATAATCGGGTTAGTTGCCAGCCCCTGGAGCTTTGCCATTTAAATGTACTAAGAGCCAGCAGGCTATTAATACGTTTAAAAGGCTGAAGTGCAATGGGCGGGCGGGGGACCTGGAGCAAGCCAGAAGAGTTGTTCCCGGCTTGTGCTGGGTTCCACCTGCCCATGCTGCACTCCAGCCTTTTAAATGTATTAAGAGCCTACGGGCTTTTAATACATTTAAAAAGCAGAAGCGCAGTGATGGGGACCTGGTGTGAGCCAGAAATCAGCTGTTCCATCTTGCATGGGGTCCCCTCTGCTGTGCTTCAGCCTTTTGGGTCTTAATACATTTAAAAGGCTGGTATGCAGTGGGGGGCTTTTAAGTTGGCTCTCCCCAGCACAGGTTCTTGCTCCCCCTTGCTGCCTCTCATAGAGGCAGCAAGGAGGAGAGGGGAGAAGTGACTAATTGAGCTTATGCTTATCGGATAGTCAACTAGTCACTTACATCCCTAGTATGGTTTGTATGAGTGTGGATGTGGTGAAGAAGTAACATATATTAATATCGAAGAGTGGACTTTCGGGTTTCTGCACCCACTGCTTGCCAGACTGTGGCAGCACCTCTTAAATTCCAGCATACTGTGTTTGTTTTTGTGACTGATAGCTGCCTCCATTTCAGCTTTCTCTTAAAGGGGGTCACTTTTTTTTTTTTTACTTCATTTGTCATTCAACCCCTTCTACTGGCTGATCCTCAGAGGTTAAAGTCTACTACACTTTAAAAATGCATCTTCTTAACACTGGAGTTCCAAAATTCAGTCTCTAATGATGACCAGTAATTGAGGTTATTGTAAATGCAAGATCTACCTCCTTGGAGGTATGTAGCCATTTGTAGTCTCTTCCATTTTGGCAAAAAGCTTTTTCTTTTACATCTCTGTCCCCTGAACGTATAGAAGAGGGAGCAGAGAAGATAGTCTGTAATCAGACTACAATTGGTTTTCATGTATCTGATACCTAGGTTATTGTGCATAATATAAATATATGGGATTTAGTGAATCCAGTTGAAATAGTAACGGCAAAATGTTCAGAGCAAACTTTCGCCTATATAGCAATGATTTTATTGATATTTTAATTTTCCAATATTTTTGTTTTGCAGTTCAATATAAAGTGATAGGGTTCTAAACTTTGTAACTGATAACATGCTTTTGATCTATGCTTACGAAGTCAACTGGTTGTTTCATAAGAGTAGAAATCCATCTGTTTGCTGTCATTTCAGGGTTGGAGAATATATTTATTTATTTTAAAATATTTTTACCCCGCCTCTCTATTTAAAATATTCGAGGTGGCTTACAAAATTTTAAAAGACAATATATTAAAAAAGATGGTGTCTCATTAATTATGGTGATCATAATAGTTTAGTTAAATCCTGCTATTCAAAGGCTTTGAAATAAGCCACCAAATTAACTTCTAAGGCAAGGGTGGGCAATAAGTTTTGGCCAGGGGCCACTTCAAAAAGTTTTGAAGTGCCCCCAGGCCGCCTGGAAGGGGGGGGGGCTAAATCAGAAGAGGTGGGACCAGGATGCTTCTGGGCTACCCCACCCACAGACCATGATTGGTCTAAGGGTAGGGGAGCCCCTCCCTTCCCACTAGGCACCCACGCTGCTTCCTTGTGCTGCACCCTGCCACGTGCTCCTTACAGGGTGGGGGTAGGTAAGGAGGAGTCTTCAGGCGCTCCCCCCCGCCACCAAGCCAGTCAGGACTTGGGGCGGGGGACTCTCAAAGCCTCCTCCCGCCCTGCAAGGAGCACGTGGCACTTTGATGTGCTGTCTGCCCTTTGCAGGGCCGGGGCACGGAGAAGGAAGCTTCGTGCAGTTCCCCTGACCCCGGCCCTGATTGGCTTGGGTGTGGGGGGAGCGCCTGAAGCCTCTTCCCACGACGCTAATCCCCACCCTGTGAGGAGCATGCGACACTTCAAAGTGCTACGCGCTCCTCACAGAGTGGGAGGAGGCTTCACACGTGCTCTCCCCACCCCCAGGCCAATCAAGGCCTGGGGACAGGGGAGCTGCATGAAGCTTCCTTCACCCTGCCCCCGCCCTGCCTGAGCATATAGCACTTTGAAGTGCCGTGTGCGCCTCGCAGGGCGGGGGGGGGGGGGGGGGGGGCGGG